AGTAACATCACTCAAATACTCCCTTTTTAGGATAATATGGTGAACATGTACACATCCAGCAGGTACAGAGCAACATTAAGGCCCAGATACACCGGCCGGAATCGGCAGTAAATGGGAGTCGGGCCGAACATAAGCGTGGGCACGCCCTATTCGGAGTGGTGTGCGCCGCACCGTCGGGTCTTTTCTGCCGACCTGACGCCTTTTCTTGCCGATGAATCGGCGTCGGGAACACCACCGGAAGTCGGACAAAGGGATAACACCTGTTCAGCTAGCGAATCAGTGCATGAGAAGCGTTAACGGAAGTGAGGGAGGTAAACAAATTATTTAAAATGGAAGATGGAACACACACGGACGGCTATTTCACCTCATCGGTTTATAGAGCTCCTGTTCGTTCATGTTTTCAATGGACGAGAGCGAAAATGGAAAGAAAAACGCTATTTGTTGTTTGTTTATATCACGGAGTTCTTCTTCTCTGTCTTCCGGTTGTTGCCTATTTTGAATGATGAATACACACTACCGCCGCCTGCTGGTAAGGAGAGTTATTGCCACTCACGCATACGCAGTTCATACATGCTCGGCTCGGATTTGCCAGTGCGCGAAGTCGGCAAATACGCAGGAGGATCCGGCGACGCAACAGTCGGTGTCGGCGTCGGCGACTTCTCAGGTGACTGGCCGGTGTATCTGGGCCTTTAAATCTCTACATGTAACGTTGAGGGAAATTGTAGAAAATACTCCCAATATACTTTAAAATAAAGAAGTAGTAGCCTGCTCATTTTGTAAATAGACTATCACCAATTGGCAATCATTAGGTAAAGTTGACCAACAATTGCTTAAAAATTGGAGTGCAGTGCAGTACTTCATTTAATGTCTGGTCTCTTGTGAATAAAGTTATCGCAATTGGCAGATTAAGTGTGACATTTCAGCTGTGTACCTGAATGCAGCACAGGACATGGAAGTGGTAATAGGAGTTTCGGGCCTATCGCGTGCCAGCATTGACTTTACGCAGCCGTCGGCCGATACAGAGTTGCTCCTCCTCTCTGCACGAGGTAATGAGGTGACTCCTGTTTCACTATTAATAGTAGAAAGTTAACTTTCTCCTCATAATGCACCAAAAATAATTAGCTGTGAGAATACTGTGAACGAATTCCCAGGGTGTCTCTTATACAGTTTAGGTGGTATCTTGACTTTATAGTCCCACATTCAGCCTTCAACCAAAACAACGTTAACAGTTCAACACATTGGTTCTGTTTGAGTCAAATGTCTATTTTGATACAAGTAGTCAATTTTGGAAGTGTGTTTTAGACACAACAAAAAAACATGAGTTCTCCAGTTATTTGAAACTAAGTTAAAGGGATTCACCACCATAACCCGAAATAGTTGACAGCAAATGTAGAAGCAGAAACAATGTCTAATTTAGAGAAACATACAATAAAGCAAAAGTACTCAAGCTTCCATTTCAATTTCAATTACTGATGTGTTTGTATTTATTGATCGCCATAACAAAACCTACAACTATGCACTGAACAGAGCTATAAATAAAATGATAAAGTTTGATAAAAAAAATAGCTTCATGTTTCTATGAGAAAAAGTACTGCTTCAGAGTTCATAGACCTATAACAAACCTTTATGTAGGTTGAATTCTACGGTGGCCCTGAAGTGCAAGACACCACAGCATTTCACAAAACACTACAGCATTTCAGAAAACACAACAGCATTTCAGAAAAAACTAAAGCATTTCAGAAAACGCCACAGCATTTCAGAAAACGCTGCAGCATTTCAGAAAACACAACAGCATTTCACAAAACACAACAGCATTTCACATCGCTCGAGTTTCACTGTGGCTGTCAGCTGTGCTTACTCCTGTCATTCAAACAAGACGCGCTGGAGAGGGGGCGGGGCATATCTACATGTAAATTCTATGGGAGATACCAACTACAACCAAATGAATATATTTGACCTTGTAATACACGTTTCAAAATGATGCCGAAGTAACTACATATTGATACCGGTTAGTAAAAACCATGAATTAATGCTTTGACAAGTGTGCAGGCAAGACGGCAGACGAAAAAACTTTTTAAATGCGTGTTTTCTGAATGGAGATCGGATCGATCAGGGTAAACTAACGTGTAGCTGCTCCGTCCACACTCACAACAACGTCATACAGACAGAAATAAAGCAGCGACTGTATTTGTCATGACCTAGACAGTCTGTGGTTTGTACATGTTTAACTTTTGTCCAGTTGTGTCCAATGCTGTGGTGTTTTGTGAAATGCTGTGGCGTTTTGTGAAATGCTGTGGCGTTTTGTGAAATGCTGTTGTGTTTTCTGAAATGCTGTTGTGTTTTCTGAAATGCTGTGACGTTTTCTGAAATGCTGTAGTGTTTCTTGAAATGCTGTTGTGTTTTCTGAAATGCTGTTGTGTTTTCTGAAATGCTGTGACGTTTTCTGAAATGCTGTAGTGTTTCTTGAAATGCTGTAGTGTTTTCTGAAATGCTGTGGTATCCTGCACTTCAGGGCCACCGTAGAATCCAGCTCATTCAGTACAATTCAAGATATTGATGAAGTAACACCCCTGTAATGTTACCAGTTGATATGAACTGTGCAGGGTTTTTTTTTTTTCAGAGTGGCATGACAGACAGAATTTGGGAATATCTGCTGTATGAAAAGCACACAAAAGACACACAAACTATTCCGCTTTACTTTTCTTGTGTCAATGATAATGTTTTCGTATTTATACCATAATCGTGAGAAGCACAAATAATGAAACAGTAGAGAACAGAGTGTTCAGATAAAAACAGGCTTCACATGCATTGCAACAATTAAAAGGCAACAGGCGTCATACTTACCCTGGAAAAAAATCAAGAAAACCCGAATAATGACGTCTGATGAGAAGCGTCAGCAGGAAGGAATGCAGGCGGTGCATGGTTCAGAGGAGTTTTACAGCCACAATAATATCTACTGGTGTATAAAGTCTCAAAGCAGAGTAACAACTAATGTCATAACACTTCCAGATATTTAAAAACAAAGAAGGATCAAAGAAGTGAAGATAAGAAAAATCTACCAAGCAGGAGGAGTGGAATCGCGAATATGAGAAAGAACATTTCAGATGAAAATGCAGCGTCCACTCCCATGGAACAAGCCCTCAGAAAAACCTGTTATTGCATTGAACTCCACCCAAATCAGTACGCAAATAGATCACATATTCTTTATTCTAACAAAGTGTATCAGCCGTGTATGTGTCCATGTGGAGAACAATAATCACAGTAAAAATATTTAGTTTGAAGTTGAATACTTATTGTTATCATGAAGCAAGAACACACTAAACAGAGATAACAAAAATAACCAAAAGCCCTTTCGCTTTGTCCTTATCATATTCCTTGGTTTTTCTGCTTGCCCAAATGAGCTTCGATCTCTGGTTTGAATAAAAGCTCCCCGAGCTGGCCGTGCGAGGCCTCGTTTATGGCTTTGGTCTGCATACACATCTTGTATTTGTCTGGAGGGAGCTCGTCTGCACAGTCCTTCTCGTGCCACAGGTGGAAAAGGCCCCGGGATGGAGAGCGAATCACCATTAGCTTACTGTGGAGGTACTTCCTGTACAGGTGCACGTCCTCCAACCCCCAGCCTTTGATGCTGCGGTCAAAACCCCCTGCAAGAAGAAGAGAACTTTAAACATGTGCAGTGAGACAGTGAGGATCAGGAAATCAGGAATGGCATGCATGTTCAATGGCTAGGTTAAAATAAAAATAAAAAACAGTATTCAAAGGAGGATGTTGTTTCCATATTTGAATTTGAACATATATTTAGTTGAACTGAACATAAAAAGGACATAAAGCAGAGGGAGATTATTCTAATGTGTAACTTAAAAGACATCAGGGATTTAGAGAGCTTTTTCTCAGGTAGGGAAAGAGTCTTGGAGTTAAAAAAAAACAACAATACATAAACAATGTACAACTATCTTTGCAGCATTAGGCCACAACTTAATAAACAATTTCATCTTATGACAGAAAATGGTGGAATTCTGTAGACAAATACAAAGAATGCTGTGCTTTCATGTATATAAAGTCACATAAAATGTGATAGTTTATTGTATTAGGTCTTACAAAACATGACTTTAGGGATAATTGTGAACAGGTTTTTCTTTACGGCAGAAGATGTATTACCTATGTTGAGGAAATCAGACCTGTACTGGCATGTCATACCAAACCCAAAGTCTCTCCAGAATCCAGTGTCTTTTTTTATCACCTGAAACAAAAAGACCAAATCAGAGGCAGACTTGATAATCTATTCATACACAATGAAGTACATGTATCTGATTTATTTTAACCTACCAGTTGTTTTTGAACTGGGGGTAAAAGACTCTGATTACTGTAGATAATAGACGGGTTGTACTGGCTGAAGAGCACTGGGTAGTACACTCTCTTACCTGGAGAAGGAAGCAATACAAAATAGTTAAAAGAAGCACTTTACAAGTACTTTCAAGTCAATGAAGCCATAAAAACACAAAACAAAATATCTGATGAAAAACAAAACAGAACGGAACTAAACACATTTTCAGTTTAAAACACCAAGCAGGCAGGACATGATGGATTTGTTTATTACTGGCAGCAACAGCAGACGTTTGCCTGGAGTGAACATTTCAGAACTGAGTAGTTATTATGAGTGATAACAACAAGGCCTCTACAAAGAAATCTGAAAAGACTACCGTCTCCAGAAATCTCACCATAGCACTGCTGTGTATATTTTAAGTATACATTTTGTCTTGAAACTTCATGTCAGCTTACACCTTTTCCATTATTTTACACCCTATTCCTGACCCCATGATATGTGGTATGTCATAAAGCTAAGGATTAGATGGCAAGCTGCTTGTTACATAGTGGAAAAAGCACAACCCCCTGGGATAGAGTGCAGGCAGCATATGAGGCAGCAGGTGTGACATTGAATCTCTGTGAGCTGATAATCAAGCAGCAGGAGGTGTCAGAGAGTCTGTGGGAAAATGTAATTTCATTCTTTCACATTTTGTTGGCAGAGACAGAACAATTTATTTACATTCGGACTCAGCCAAAACAAACCATGGGAAATATGTGCTTATTTGTCCTTATTGTTTATAAAGCTGCAGGAATAGGTTTTGTTTTTTTCACCTTCGGCTAAGAGCCATTATTCAAGTCAGCGAATGAGGCATGCACTTTTTTGTGCCAAATTGAAATGGAGTGGAAACCACTTTATTTACAGTAAATGGGTCAAACCGGCACTGTGCAGTTCAGCTTTTTGGAGCCCATCCAATAATACATCACCTCATATAACTTCTAGCATAATGTAGCTTTGCCCAACTTCAACCCAAGCACAGCATGAACTATTAAAAACACCCAGGGCCCATTTGTCTAATGCAATGTAACAGGCGGCATTTCATAATTTATAGTTGACAATGTATTACTTTACAATTGATTTACTATTGGGAAATGTTACCATCTCCTTTAATATGTTTTATATTCCTTTATATTGTTATATTACTGCCACTTAAAAAAAAAAACATGGTTTACTTATTTGTATTTTTTATTTATTAAATATTTAGGTCTACTCTTCCCTTTTGCCTTTTATCTGCACTGTATCTTTTTCTGATTTTCAGGATATTGTCATTCAATTAATCTGGGACAAAACTAGACTCCGGCACCTCACCCTGGCTCTGTGTTTTTTTTGGCTTTTTAAAATCTAGCCAGTAGATGTTTGTGCATGTCCCTTCAGATGTCCCATCATTGGCACTGCAACTGCCCACACTGCAAAGTAACCCAAATAGGAAGACAGGCTTTCACAAAGATAGTCGGACAGAACCAGCGTGTTTTAGAGATGGGAAAATATTTCTTCTGCCCCGACTTTTCGGCTCCAGTTTATAGAAGGCTAAACAACTACCAACGTCTTTCTCTCCCAATTCTCTCACAATGTTGTTGAAAACCTAGAGTAACATCTCAAAAGTGCTCGAAAGGCCCTCCATTTTGCAAATGTAACAGTATAGTACTTAATAAAACAACACTATATTACAGCTTTGGGATCACAATCCCAATTATTTTTTTAATTTATAATTATTCGTCCAAGTCACTGTAACATCTGCTGACCTGGTAGGGGGGGCTAAGGAGATCAAGGAATGTATTTTCTAATTAATTAAAAACATTTTAGTGTTTTTTTCCCCCAGAACAATGCCTACCCTGGAATATAACTAATACTATAAGGTTATTATGGATTCTTTGCCCAATAAAGCCAAAAAAAACGTAAAAATTAAAGCTGCCTACCCCAGCTTTAATGTTGTCATTATAAGCTTATTTTTGCATAAACAGATTACAGTATGAATCAAGGCTGGATAAAGTCTATGCAAGTTGTGCTGGATTTGAATGTTGAAAAGCTCAGGGATAAATCCTCCTTTCTCTCACCAGGTTCTGCGTTGAGACGACAAGAAGTTAAGAAGTCAGCGGTGAAGTGGATGTCAACATCACAGAAAAAGAGCAGAGCGTTCTGGCCGCGTCTCCACGCCCGGGCGCCCACCTCCAACCCTCGACCACGAGAAAACTCCTCATTCAGCTGGATCAGAGTGAAGCTCCTGAACCGAGTTTCTCTGAGGGAGAGAAGAAGACAGGAGGGATGTCATGGAAACATCTGGGATACTGAGACAGGTACTCTAATGCATTTCAAATGTTAATGCATTAATCAAAATGTTAGTTGGCTCAAAGAAGATGAATGGTATTTTGCTCCTCACTTGTTTCCAACTTCGATTAGTTTTCAATACAAATTTGTGACCAATTTAGAAGAGTCTTCCAGTAAAGATATAGACCTGATCATTCTGCTTTTGTATGTTTGTTTGGTATGTCCACAAACTTGCACAGCATTAAATATTTCTGTAACTTTAATGTACTTCTGAACTGTCACAACCTTTAAATGGAATTACAATTGATGAAGGGTGAATAATGACTTGTTTAGGAATTGAAACACACATTTTATGATTTATTCCTAACTTGGCAATTGAACCATGACTTCGCAGCCTATAATGGAGAATATTTCCCAGCTCTGGATCTTACACACTAGTTGTAACAGCCCCCAAAATGTCTCTTTGTTAAGATGCCAATTGCATAATGCACATCAGAGATGGTCGATTGAAAAAAAGGAAATGTTTGTGGGTGAATATTGTTTGCTTCAACACAAAACCAATGTGAAAGGTTGATGATTTAACTGTAAACATTACCTGGTGGTCTGATCCAGGACTGCCTTCACCTGATCTATCTGATCTCGACCAAAGTAGACCACAGTCAGATGAACCCTGCTGTCCTTCTGGATGCACACTTCTCTGAACAAAAACACAACACAAAACATACAATTAATTATGTGTTAGGCCCACTTCTATAACACTTCTAAAACACTTAAAGCTATAAAAGCAATAAACTTCACATTTGATCTGAAGTGGAGAGGAGTCTTTTCACTTTAGGCACTGCCAAATGCACTCTTTTTAAGCGTGAGATCAATAATGTCCTGATGTAAGCACAGTTAGTGTGAGTGGATGCCATGCAGCTTCTTAATTTACTTTTTTACCTGAAGTTGTTGATGAATTGCCTAAAAGCCTCTGGCCTCTTGGACAGAGGTACAATGATGTTGATGAACGTGCTGCGCGTGTTCACGCTCTCGCTCTTCACCTTCAGTACGGGACCAAACGGCCTGAAGAGGACGACCTGTGTGAAGTCCCGTGGGCCGTCGCCTTTAAACATCAGCTCATAAACAGTTCCTCTGTCCCGCTCAGTACGGGTCAACCCTGTGACAGACAGGCAGCACTCTTATTTATTCATTATTGGCTCAATCTCAACACACTAAACTACTCCCTCATTGCTATATCCCTTTTTCCCTATATCATATGTTTATATATTAATACCAATAGACTAAGGTCTTCATAGAAAACTTTCAAACTAATGTTAGGGAATTTATGGAAAACAAAGCAATACCAATATTTTAAAGATATTATTAAAGGAGCAAAGGTTTTTATATCAATTACTCACATCCTTTGACCCTTTATTTGTGAAGAAAACTGCATTAAAACCCTACCATTTAAAAATGCCTGTGCACGCCTTGATAAATTAGGCCCAACTTTACTTGAATTGGTTAAAAACCTTGGAGGCATGCAAGTTTGCCAGACAAATTCAAACAAACTCTAGGTTATTCATTGACATACAAATCATCATTTTGGGGTTAAGGCAGTGGTTCTCAAAGTGGGGGGCGCGCCCCCCCAGGGGGGCGCAGAGGTATGACAGGGGGGGCGCGAGAGACCAGGAGGAAAAATGGTTATAAAANTGTTGCTTAAGCTTATGTATTCAGTCATTATTCAATGGTATACTAAAATCCATGTGAAAAAAATTGCTTCTCACTGTTCTCAGGTCAAATATTTATATGTGATAAAAAATGCGATTAATTGCGATTAATTAATTACAAAGCCTGTAATTAATTAGATTAATTTTTTTAATCGAGTCCCGGCCCTAATATAAACATCTAATTTTGTCATGCCCCACCACTTTTGTACATATAAAAACGCCACTGCACGTATTTACAGACAGCCGGGAAAGGAGAGCTACTGATTGAATCAAACGCTAAAATTCCTCTGTCATAACAAAGGAGTAAACTGAAATGGAGGGGTGGAGCGCTCTTCCCTCAGGTAGCCACCATGAAGAGCTGGCAGATGGAAGCTGCAGCTGTTCCCAGGTAGGAGAGCAGGCTGGAGATTGGCTAGCATTCCCTCTGGACCGAGCCCATCTCAGTGGGGAATTCAAAGCCAGGCCTTTTCCACATTGGCAGCCTCTGAGTCTGGGCTGCAACCAAAGCTAAAGGTTCACACTTCTCTCCCTGTGCTGCTTCCTCCCTGTGCCTTTCCCCCCCCCCTCATTTGAACCCGAGCTGTGCTCCAGGAGTGAAAATAAACACATTTGAATTTGAATTTAATCTGAGTTTTGCTGGAGTACTTATTGTGTTCTAAGAATTTGTACTGAATTTGAATGCATTTTTAATATCATGTTGACAAAAAGTCATTGGAACTGCAATATTTCTTTTCAATAAAACAAGAAATAGTAACTAGTTTTAGCTGTAATGTGTTACAAAAAAAGTGGTCAAAGCAAGAGCAAAAGCAGATTTTAATTATATATGTTTTGAAAGTACCAAATTAGTGGCAAATTTAGAAAAACAAAAAAAGTAGTGTTGCTACTGTGAATTAACTTGAAAATAAATGTCCTGAACAATGACTAATCCATTAGGCTTCATATAATGTGGAACAATGACTCAGTTAATGTGTTCAACTAATTAGAGTGACAAACCAGAATGGCTAAAGTAAAATGAGACAACAGAAGTCAAAGCAACTGTGTCCAACAACTTAAGCTACGGAATCACAGTTGTGTTTATTCAGTTGTTATTTGTGCCAACTTCGGGTTGGTGGAAACAAGCTGTAACATGCACAGTACAATATAAAGTTAATATCGCAAACAACTTGGCAAATCATCATTTTATTCCAGATCCATCAGACACGGCTAAACATCAGCATTCATTTGAATGTTTTTCAAATTAATGTTTTGGGGTCAAACGGGCTGGATTTGATAGACCAGGTCACATATTTGTTATCGTAAATTGTTGCTAACTTTGTCTGTTTGGTACTGGGTAGGTAGCATACAGCCGTTTTTGCGGAAAACAAATGCCTTCCGAAAATAATTCTGATATAAGTGTTGTCAAAATGGTGTAAGTAAAAACTGTGAAATATAGAGACAGGGAAATGCCTTACTATTGCGCTTAGGGGAAACATTTAAATATTGTCTTGTTAAATCTTTATGGAAATGAGGCTTGAGGAATATTTTGTGAAATACTTTGAATGTATTACAGACACTACAATTATTCCAATGCAAAGTGAATGCATGAAACAGATTTGGAAAGACAGCTGCAACTCATCTGAATCCTCAGCTGAAGACTCTTGCTCACTGCACGTCTGATTTGTCTCAGAGCTTAAAAATCCTTCAGTAACTGTCAGCTGCCTCACGTCTACATCTTCTCCTTTGTGACTAAAATAGATGAAATAAGGGGAATCAGTAATGTGGCTTTTACCATCTCTATGGCAATAATAAGGGGGTACAGCATAATGTATCCTCTTTGTTTGTGTCCAATAATGTATCACTTTATTACGGTGGCCCTGAAGTGCAAGACACCCCAGCATTTCAGAAAACGCTGCAGCATCTCACAAAAGACAACATCATTTCACAAAATACAACAGCATTTCAGAAAACACCACAGCATTTCACAAAACACAACAGCATTTCAGAAAATGCCACAGGATTTCACAAAGCACCACAGCATTTCACAAAACACCACAGCATTTCAGAAAACGCTGCAGCATTTCACAAAACACAACAGCATTTCACAAAACGCCACAGCATTTCAGAAAACACAACAGCATTCCACAAAACACAACAGCATTTCACAAAACACAACAGCATTTCAGAAAACGCAGCAGCATTTCACAAAACACAACAGCATTTCACAAAACACCACAGCATTTCACATTGGACGGAAAGGGTATTCCTTTAGGGAGAACACTTGTTTGTGATTGGACGGAACCAGCCAGAGAAGCACTGCTGTGACTCAAAGCTCACAGCTCCTCATATTACAAATATGAGGAGCTGTGAGCTTTGAGTCACAGCAGTGCTTCTCTGGCTGGTTCCGTCCAATCACAAACAAGTGTTCTCCCTAAAGGAATACCCTTTCCGTCNTTTGTGTAATTAATTAATCTTAATTAACGCGTTAAAGTCCCGGCCCTAGTTTATATATAAGCTTCTGCTGTTTTTTAAACACGTAAACAAATAGCTGGCTATCCATGGTTCCGATAGGAGAGAGGGGGTGGGTGTCGCTCTATGCAAGTCAATGGGATTCCCTGATAGTTGAACATCGACG